GCATCAGCCCAGGCCAACACATGAAAAATGATCCCTAGGAAACACAAGTTCCCTCTAAAGCAGAGCACCTTAATATAATAGTTCATTTGAGGAAGGTTAATATTTTATGCATTTGGTAATTTTAAAAGTGCTCTGCAGCCTTCACATGTGTCTTGGCACAGCTGTAGAGCACTTTCAGGAGCCTGATCATGCAAAAAAAATGTAACTTGTGTAAGCGCCCCCCAAGAGGTGTCATGGCCACTCCTGGAACAGGCCTTTGTTACAATTAGCACTTTGGCTTAGAGCTTTGGTTCCCAACCTTGGTTTGCAGCCCAAATCAGGGTCATGGGGGGCCCTCAGTAGGGTCACAAAGGGTACACAGCAGCAGTGCGGAGAAGCGGAGTGTGCTTCCGGGTTCATAGATTCATCAGTGTTAGGGTCGGGAGGGACCTAAGTAGATTGAGTCCGACCCCCTGCCCTGAGCAGAAAAGAGTATTGGGGTCAGATGACTCCAGCCAGGTGCCTGTCTAGTCTCTTCTTAAAGACCCCCAAGGTAGGGGAGAGCACTACCTCCCTTGGAAGCCCATTCCAGATTCTGACAACCCTTATGTAAAGAAGTTCTTCCTGACGTCTAACCTAAACCTGCTCTCTGCCAGCTTGTGGCCATTGTTCCTAGTTACTCCAAAACAGAGCATCTCCTATTCCTTGCTGCCCTTCTCCCCCATCCCGCCCCCTGAGACCTGGGTCTAGTGGAACTTTGAGGGGTGTGGAGCACAAAGTCAGATTCTCCTTTGGTCCCCAGAATTTCTTTAGCTAGGGCACTCAGGTCCCCTGGTTCCAGATCCAGGTCCCCCTATGGCAGTTGGATGCTCAGGCTGGGAGATAAAACTGGGGTGGAAGAGACTGTTATTCTGCTGCTGGTGACTATTTCTGGAGTTAGGGGAGGTGGTGCAGGTGCAAGGACAGGTACTTCTTACTCCTCCTTGCTTCCACTGGCAGCAGAAGACTCATGGCTGCCAGGAAAGAGGATATATCTATTTTTGTTGGGGGGAAACTTGCAGCTCTAACTCTCCCTCTCCCCTCTTTAGCCCCTCTCTCTACCCTGCCAGAAGTCCTGGTACCTGCCTTTCTAGCACATGTCATATTAATCTTTCCTGTGCTGGAAAATGTGTCTGTATGTGTAACTAAAAATAGAATATATGTCTTGTCATCTTCTTCTCTGATATATGACTGACTGTGTCTGTCTTATTCTTCTGTGTTATGTTTTGTTTGCTGTTCTATGTTGTTGTGTACATTGTACCTAAATTAATATCACTTCTTCTTCTTCTGCTTCTTTGCCCGTCTGGCTTGTGTTGTATTAATCTGTATCTGACTTCTGTGTTGTCTGCAATCTAAGTGTAAATATGTTTAATAATAATAACTATATATAATTGGATCTCTTCTTCTGTCACTGCCTGACTTCTGTTGTGGTAACCTGAATCTGTGATTTCTTTTTCTGTGTTGTGTTTACTGTTCTGTGTGTATTGTGTAACTAAAATAATCTCTTTTTCTTCTTCTTGTATAACTGTCAGACTTCTGTGTTGTGTTAATCTGACTTCTTCGGTGTTGTTTTTAGTCTGTATGTAACTATTACTAATAATATTCATAGCTATATATAATCTCTTCTTCTATGAATGTGTGCTGCCTTCTTTGTTGTAATAATATATGACTTCTTCTTCTATGATGTGTATATGTAATGTCTGCTTCCCTGCATAGTGATGGATCACACTGCTAGGGAAAACACGGTTTTCTTTTTTAAAAGTTTTTGGGGGAAAAAACCCAAGAAGAAATACAAATTGAAAAAAATGGATTGGATAGGGATAAGTGTTAGGGTGACAATATTTGTATCTTGGGGAACATTAAATTTGCAGCTGAATAAAAAAGCTATAAGCTGTGGCCTAGCAAAAGCTGCTGACCACAAGGCAGAATGATATATTAAAAGTAACATTGTAAAATGCTTAGGCAAGCATTTTCTTAACAATATAATAGTGTTGTAAAATATGTGTCGTTAGAAGGTAAAGCAGATTTTGCTTGTGAGCGCTTATGTTAAGTAACCATATTAATTGTGTTAACCATTTTCTGAAAAAAGCAGCAAGTAAGTCTGTGATGTGAACCAGCTACTGTAAGGAACGAGATAAGATATAAGGGCTAAGGAATGTAGAGGTGGTATAACTTGAGACAGAAAAACAGATTGGAATGTGAAAGACAACGCGTAACTGGTAACAGAATCCAAGATGGACCAATGAATCCGTGATTGGTGAAGAGGCTTCCAGGTTTTGGTCAAAGTCCGCCCATTGACCGAAGAATTGAGTTCATGGTCTTGAACATGTGCTCATAGCAAAAAGGCATGTAAATGAGTAAAATACATAGGCAATTCCATGCTAATGAAGCAAACAGGAAACAGGTGGGAGTTTGAAAGGGGAGGAGATATGGGTGGAAAAAAGGAGCAGCGAGGGTGGAATAAATGGTAATGTGCATGAACCAAAGTATATAAAATGTGGAAAAAACTATTGTTCAAGGCTGCTCCCCTGGTTTCACGGGCTGTGTGTCTGTGAGGGAGCTCGCCCGAAGCTGTCTCCATTCTGAATAAAGCTGTTATGAGCAATGTGTGCTGGTGTTTGCTCCCTAGTCATTGGGTGCCACATGGAGTCGGGGTCTAACAACAAGTGGAAGGATTCTAGTTAGTAAACTAAGCTATATCCAATCCTTTCCAAGAGAAGAAAATATCAGCAGACTGACTAGGAAGCCAAGCCAGTCCAGTACCTTTTAGACACTGTTGCTCAGGCAGAAACAGCTCACAAAAAGCACAGAAAGCCTGCAGACAAGCTTATATACTGTTTCTATGTCCCTCTCCCAGAGCACTGTGGTTGGAAGGGGACTCAGGGAGAAATCAGTCACTGGTCAGCTAGAGATGTCAGTCCTTCCCCCCCCACTCCCCCTCCCTCTTCTCAGTTTCTGTTCCCCTAAAAAACTACCTCTGAATCTCTGAATCTTTTCCAAACTGATTCAGAGGCTCCAAATTGATTCAGAAGGTTTTGCTGCTTCTGATTCAATTCAGATTTGAAGATTTGGCCTCTGAGTCAGGCTGAATCTTCTCTGAATTGAGTCGTGGACCAATGCTTCACATAGCCCTAGTATCAAAGGCCTTCTTAAAATCCAAGTAAAGATATCTACCTCGACTTCTGCTGCTGCATGTTGGGGGTGCTTCTGAGTTTGCCATCATATGTGTGTATGGGGACCCCCCCACTCACCGATCAGCCACCCCCCCTCTCCCCCCATCTTAGGGTTGTTAATGGCGGCAGCGTATTCTCTTAGGGTTGCAGCAAAAAAAGGTTGGGAGCCAGCGGCTTAGAGGATTTCTAGGCCCATTTTATATTCAAGCCCCTGAGTTCCTTTGTTTAAATGATGTTTGTAGAAGACATAGCTGTGCCACAAAAGCAACATTGCAGTCTCTCTCTCAGGATCGGATATCTCCTTTAAATTCACCCACCACGACTTAGATGGGAAGGAAGAAACCAAACAGATATGGCTCTTGGAGATAAAGCTGATGTTAATTTCTGCAATTTAGCAGCCTGGCTCCTCTTCACAGGGCTCCACCATCCCCATCCCCTGTCTTACCATACCAGATTTTTCTGCGTTGATATTATTAGATCTCCCTGAAGGAATCACACCTTACTTAATGTCCTGGCAGCAGATCTCTTGCCACTGATCTCTTGTCCTGTTCTTCACCCCACGGTTCTTAAATATACAGTCACACTATCTCCCCACCCATCTTTTTCAGGGAGGGACTGTCTCAGGCCAGTGTCCCAAACTCACATTTTCGATCAGTCTTTCTTCCTTTTTCAAGTGCCAAGAACAAAGACACACACTCAGTAGACTTGAACACCCTGGCTAGGATATGGCAACTCTCTCTTCATCCCCACTCTCCAGGTAAGTCCATCTGCAGAACACTCTTCTGCCAATCCCTAGTCAGTCACATACTACTGCCGCCACACCTCTGTGCTCCCACAAGCTTTCCCTTATGTTGCTTCCCTCACTGGAAGAGAGCCAACTGTTTAGTCAGCTCTCTTTTAACTTCCCAAGGCGATTAGCTGTGTGTCCGGCCATAGCTTCCCATTCACTGCCCTGCAGGCTTTCACATCTGATTGTATTAATAAACATCTAGGTACTCCTGCTCGGCTTTTGCCCCATCCAAGTGGAAAATTATATCAGACATTCAGATTTGGAGTGCAGGCACACTTACAGTAAACTACAGTCCACTTACAGTAAACTACAGTTGGAGCAGCTTGCTATTAGATGTGTTGCATTCTACATCATCTGAAAGATTCAAATAGAAAAAAAGAAGGTGGAATAACTGGGATTATGTAGTCTAGAGATGAGAAGGCTGAATAGGATTGGTCATAATCTTTAAATACCTGAAGACTGGTTAGAAAGAAGATGACATTAGACTATTTATTCTCTTTGTCTGCAGGGGCAAAAAAAATGCTAGTCTTCAGTTACAGCAAGTAAAATTTATCTGTAATCAGTGGTTTGGGAAGAGATATCTTACCTTGCTGTCTTGCCATGAAAATGTTTTCCTCCAAGGAATTTTTCATAGCAGCATGCACCAATAGACCCCTAGATTTATGAATAGATCAAATTTAGAGCAGAATGTGATGCAGACTGTATCACACACTCAGTTTACCTTCCCAGTCTTGTATTTGATCTGATTTCTAATTTAGGGGAAGGAAGATGGCAGTAATCATTGATTAATGGGATCCCAGTCTCAGTACTTGCTCTGGTTGCATGATCTCATTAGTTTAAGCAGCATTGTTTTTTTTTCTCCATGCTTCCCTAGTAATAGTTTGTACAATGTGATGTTTTTAGTTTCTAGTCATCTAATTCCAGTTTCCAGTTGTGATAATCAGTGGCTCACTCCTGTGAAAATCAGTATGTTGTGCTCACCACACTGGTATTTTTCCCTCGTCTGCTTGTACTTTCAGATTTAAGATACAACAGAAAAGAAGATGACTTCCTCCTTGTGGTATAGCTCCATGGCTAGCACCTCCATCCCTGGTTTGATCATTTTCTGCACTTCCTTTTACATCCAGAAGTTGGAATCAGGTAGTGATTCATTATCAATATATACTTTTCTTCCCTTTTTCTCCTTCAGGGAATAAGCATCTACTCCTCTACCAACTGGCTCTCCCTTTCTTTCCATGTAATCATATGGCTGTTGTTGCAACTCCCAAAAACATTTATTCCAGCATCACTGTTGCAAGTTCAGCAGTGCATAAAAGAAACCAAATGTTTGAAAGAAACTGTTAATTGTCAGTTGGCTAGTCATTCCAACAAACAGAGAATTAAATGCTAGAGTACAAAGTCAAAAGTTCTCTTGAAAATCTGCATCTTTCTACATGCATAATAGGGTATCTGAGTAGGGGGCATCAACCCCTGGCAACATCTTGGGAAAAGGGGAATGCATACAAAATTACTATTGCTTGTAGCCATGGGTTTGCAATTTTGATATAGGCTGGAAACAGAAGTTGCCACATCCTTACACTGCTGTACATGGAACCACCCAAACACTGGATAACACATGTATACACAGAGACAGATATTATTCCTTTTTCTGGCATATCAGACCATTACCATGTTAATCTGTTTTCTAAGTTCCTTGACAATTTTGTCAAATTCCAAGCCCCTCAGAAAGATGCATCTTTCTTTCCAGGGTAGAGGGTGGGTCTGACAATCAAGTAGTCTCTAAGGGGCTATCCTGTCATCCTAGCAGCCAGCAGTTGTCACTATATGATTTGTTCCCCTCTCCCAGTCTTTATTCTATATTTATCCCACTGTCCTCTCAAAAGGACAACTGAAGGGTAGAACTGATCAGTAAAACATCTCTCCTTTTGGAAATTCCTTTATTTTGATATTTACTTTTATCACAAACTGGAATGAAATGTCATGACTCTTCTTGTGTATTGAAAGGAACAGAAAATTTCCAATGAAAAATGTTAACTTTGTGTGTTGCATACACTTAGGACATCCTACCCACTTAGGTGGAGCTGTCAGGTACATGTATAGCTAAAGTTGCTTGACACTTCTTACATTATGTTTGTGCTTTCAGTTGCTTATTATTTTTGGCTCTTCAAGCTACAATTTTCTAATCTAGGTTTCTGCTTTAAGGTAATTATTTAGCATATTTTCATCTTCTCTCTGAACTTATAATACTTTTGCTTTGGCACATGTCACAGCCCAGTTCAGTGTAATTGGACCTGATCAACCAGTCACTGCTGTTGTGGGACAGGACATCATACTATCCTGCCACCTGTCCCCCAGAATGAGTGCTGAGAACATGGAAGTGAGATGGTTCCAAAATAACTTTGAAACTTATGTCCATCTGTACCGTGATGGGAGAGATTATTATGAACAACAGATGCCCAAATATCAGAAAAGGACAGAGCTGCTGAAAGATGGCATCATGGATGGAAACATTTCCTTGAAGATCCTTAATATTGAACGTGCTGATGAAGGGCAGTACAACTGTTTTGTTCAGGATGGCATTACTCATGATGAAACCATATTGGATTTACATGTTGCAGGTCAGTGGCTTGTATAGGTGTTACCTTTGAATGGCTTTTAGATATTTGATTTTTATAATATAACAACTGTGAGAGGATGCCTGAGAACTGGTGTGTTATAATACTTTATATCTAAATGTTAGTAAGCAATTACATTCATAGGTCAGAAATCATAATCCAAATCAGTGGTGACATGTAGGAGATGCACGGAGGTGTATGTGCACCCATTGAGAGTGCCAGTGCACCCCCTGAATGGACACGCTCGCCACGTAGGCAATGAGCGGGGGGGCTGGCAGGAGCGCCGGTGCCCTCCCCGCAACCGCCGGCCGGGGAGTGGAGCGCCGTTGCACTTCCAGCAGTGTCTGCAGCCAGAGTGATCAGCCCCAGGATTGGCTGCAGGGGACCTCCCCGGTCAGCAGGATTGGCCACGGCCCCCCCCGCCGGGTTGCTGACTGGTCACTGGGCGGGGGCACGTGCCCCCCCCTGACTAAGGCAGCATCAGTCCAAATGATCCAAATGTTTAGCAACTTAATACATATATTTTAATACCTATTTCCTTGCCTAAAAGGGTTTCTGACTGACAAAGAAGGGGTCCTCAGTTAGAAAGGAAAGGACTTCTTGATAAACATAAAAGACTTCCAGTTGTCCCAGACTCTTTTCTGGGCTTTGATTCAAGTGGGATTGCAAATATAAAGGCTTCCAATTAGCAAACTAGTGGTTGTTTGAATAGGTCCAATTGTGGCAGGACAATCCTGGAAGGAAAATTCAGCGTCTGTTTACTGCTGCTAGATAAGGTTGGACATTTGTCCATGTCTGTACTGACATCTGTCTGTAGAGTCTTTGCTTATGACCAGGCTATGTCTCCATGTATGATTTCCCATTTCCTACCTTTCCCCAAAAGTACACACAGGCAGTGATATTCAATACCACATAAGACTTGCCAGTGTTGCCTTTGGATGTTTCCAAATCTGTGCCTTCAATGATTCTAACATCAGGAACCAAAACAAGCATCTCATATACTAGGTTGTTGTCATCCCTACCCTGTTGTGTGAGTGTGAAATTTGATTGACTTTGGAAAAATTTGAAAGGTTTGGAACATTACCATCAGTGGTGTCTTGGTAAAATACTCCATATCAATTGCAAGGACAGAAAAATGGACCCAGCATTGTGGCTCAAGCAAACCCCATCAGCACTGACACCATGTTTATATAGCACTAGCTGCTTTGGACTAGACATATCATAAGGACATCTGGCAAACAGATCCCCAAACCATCTCTATACTCCTAACTCACTGATGGTTACCACTCCAGAGGTCAACAAAAGAAGAGGTCCAAGGACACCTTGAAAGCCAATCTGAAGAAATGTGATATTAACACCAATACCTGGGATATACCTCAAGCACAGAATTTTTCCCAATGGCACTGTGATGTATGACTAAGCCTTGAACATTTTCAACTCACCTCACTATGGAGACAGACAGATGGGAGAGAAAAATGGAAAGAGCCGTGACCTGACATCATCAGCATCTATTCCTTTCTCCCACTGCTATTTGTCATGTCTGCAGACAAACATGCAGATCTTGGACTGGCTTAATCAGTGATCTACAGACCCACCAATCATTCTATTTACTGGAAGAGTCATCCTCATATGAAGGCACTGCCAATGATGACAGGGGGTCAGAGAAACTTATTTAGGAACATAGGACTGGAAGAAAATTCCTGGATCACTGTGTCCTCTGCAGTTCTACTGCAGGCATCAAGTCCTATAATCCCTTATGAACTTTTTGGGGACATCCACACATACAGGCACATGTGCTTGCAGCAGCTCAAATAGGAGTGGCACAAATTTGAGCCAGGGATTTTTGCCTCAGTGCACATGCCCGGACAAGCACTTTGGTGTGGGACAAGTTGTGCCACTTAGGGCAAAATAACCCCACCCAGCTCCACCCAGATCTGCAGCCAGGGGGACCTAGAGCCTGGGACAGCACCTGTTCTGGCCCCAGCAGTATGAAAAGCTGCCCTGGCAAGCAGCTCAGGGCTATTTGCTCTCGGAGACTTCGGGGCATGCTGCAGTCGCTCCACCTCCAGAACCTCCTCCACCCACCCCCAGGCCACTTTCCTGTCACTTGTCCATGCACGTTTCTGGGCAGAGCACTGCTGGGTGGCATCCACAGGCTCCTTGGATGCCTTTGAGGACCGGTGGGTTTGGCCTAGAGGACTCTGCTCGGTGTCCCCCTTAGGAGCACTCATTTTTACATTTTGAACCTTTGACCCCCATGTCATTCCTATCCTGTTTTTTTCCTTAGTTGTCCCAAGAATTCAGTTGTACCATTCATTTATTAGCCCCACGAGGAGCTACTAGTTGACCAGGTGGGCCTTAGGGCCCACTCTAATTGGGTGTTACAAATGACAGGAGCTTCTGGGGAGGCTGCATTTTTATGACACAGATATAAAAAAAAAAAAAATCAAAGTGGCTTATCTCAATAATGTGTCAGCTATCCAGGTTGTCGCTGTATTGGTCTAGGAGAAAAAGCAATCAGGACTTATAGTAGAGATGATATCTTTTATAAGACCTTATTCTCCTGGATAGAAATGAAAGTTCATATTTCATAGGATTTCACAGAGGAATCAATAGATGGAAAAACTCTAGGCAGTCAGTTCATAGCTGGTATGGAGTCTCTCACCGCTTGTTGGTTCTGTGATGATGGATATTACCTTGAAACAAAGGCAGGAACAGTATCTCAGGTTTCAGGATTGATTGTCCATCCTAACTCAGTCCCTTTGCTCCGCTCCCTGAGCATTTGAATATAATTTTCTTGTGACTTAATTCAAACATATGACCACTGTTTTGTGTATATGGGAGAACTTGTATTTGCTCTTCACATATAAGCTTCATCTATTAAGTCCTTATACCTGTGAACATTTCAGTCTAAAAATAATAAGATGTGACTATGTACTCACGTGAAGTAAATCAGCAGCTCTATTGAGTTCAGAAGAACTTTACTGATTTACACCGGTGAAGGTGTACTCATTACAAATATGTATCAGTAATGAGTTTGGAGAAAGATCAGGTTTTAAATAGTTTGAGTAAAGTTGTGAATATGCCATTTACCACTCCTGCTTTCAAAAGATGAAATATATCCCACTCATATATATATATATATATATAAAAGCAAAAACAAATATGATGCTCAGTGAATTTTTAAGGTCTCCTATTTGATTCTGAGAAAGAGAGAGAAAGAGAGATGGATCAATTGGGCAATGTTTTATTGCTCTTTACAATGTTAAAGCAATTTGGAAGCCTAGCACTGTCTCTATCATCATAATACAATACATTCTAAATATATGTTTTGATGTTTGCTTTTGGTTTTCTTAGCATAGAACAATTAGAGCTCCCCCTGACGCTGCAACCGCAGCTCCTGCCAGCAGGTCTTATCCTGTCTGGCACTTGGGCATGCTGGGTGTGTAATGGGAAGATGTGGTGTTTGCAAAAGGGGGGAGGGAAGGGGTTTCGGGGGGATGTGGGTGAGTGTGTGGGGGACTGTGGGTGTGGGTGAACTGTGTGGAGGGGTGGGTCCCCCCCCCCCCCCAAAGAGCAGCCCCCCCACAGACAGCACAGGGGCTAGCCCCCCCCTCTCCCTGCAGGGCCACAGCTCCTCCCTGCCTATAGCTTGCCCCCATAGCTCCTCCCCTTCAGGGCCCATAAATCCCCCCCCCCACTCACAGGGTCACAGCCCTCCCACAGGGCCCACAACTCACTTTTTCAGCAGCCCTCTGGCACTTGGGACCCGCTGCAGCCAAAGTCCCAGAGGTACATCCTGGGCCACCTCAGAGTCAGCAGCACATGTGCCACTCGATGTGGGTCCGGCTCAGTGCAGCACAGGGCCATGCACCTTCAGGCACGCCTGGGGTGCTCGCACTGTCACCCAGGGCCCCGCACCCCGCTCGGAGACTGGGTGTCATGCCAGGTTGGGTCCTGCCTCCAGCGGAAGTGCTGCCAGGCCCACAGTGTGTGCAGGGAGGAGGTGCTCAGTGGGACCTGGGCCAGCACAGCTCACTAGCATGCCTTTGCACAGGACCAGGAGGTGCGGCTCCTGTGCAAAGGCGCACTGGCTGCACAGTCTGGGCCAAGCTGGGTCTGGTCGGGCTGGCCGGGTGCATTTTCCATGAGGGTCAGGTGGCGATGCACCCTGGCCTATTGTATGCACAGCACCGTGGCCATGCTTCACCACCTGAGCCTCATGGAAAACATGCCCAGCTGACCCGACCAGACCAGACCTGGCCTGGGCCATGCAGCCAGCGTGCCTTTGCACAAGAGCCGTGCAACCTGGAGCTATGCCTCCCATGCCTGTGCAAAGGTGTGCTACCGACCTGCACCAAACCAGACCCATGACGAGTGGCACAAATGGTGCTGGCTCTGAGGTGGCCGGGGCCACACCGCTGGGGGCCGGGTCAGGTTGGGCTGGCGGGGTGCGTTTTCCATGAGGCTCAGGCAGCAATGCACCAGAGCCTATTGTAGGTGCAGCGCTGCAGCTCTGCATCGCCATCTGAACCTCATGGAAAAATGCGCCTAGCATGACCAGGCCTAGGTCGTGCAGCTAGCATGCCTTTGCACAGGAGTCACACCTCTCGGTCCTGTGCAAAGGTTCACTAGTGAACTGTGCCAGGCTGTGTCGGGTCCCACTGGTCGCTTTGTGGAGGGGCTCAAGTGGGGGCCACCTCACACCTGCCCCCCACCCCTGCTGCGCCACCAGCAGCAGCCAGCGTGGCTGTGGCCTTGCTGCAGGCACAGCCAGTGGTAACGCAGCACTGTGTGACCCGGGCTCTATATATGCTGAGTGGACCTGGCCCGGCCCAGCCCAGCCCGCTAGTGCACAGCTTTGCACAGGACTTGGAAAGCCATGTGCTGGTGGGCTGGGTTGGGTCCATTAAGCATGTACAAAGCCTGGGTCACAGTGCCGTGTCATCACCTGCTGTGCCTGCAGCCAGGCCATAGCCATGCTGGCTGCTGCCACTGACGCCACAGGAGGGCAAGTGGCGGGGGGGGGGGGGGTGGCAGCCCCCACTCAAGCCCCTCCACAAACTCACCCACAGACCGCACATACCCCCCAGTATCCCACTGCCACTCCCCATACCCCCAATATCCCTTGCCACACCCCCTACCTTCTGACATCCCCTTGCCACTCCTCACCCCCCGCATCCCCCACCACTCCTCACACCCAGCCACCCCCATAAATCCCCCCACCCCCATGTTCCTACTTACCCCAGACAGCACCCGGATCCTGATCCTTGCGGTGCTCCTACTGCCCCAGCACATTAAGGGTTCATGCCCTGTGTGCTGGGGCAGTAAGACCACCAGAAAGATGCTCTGACCAGAAACCAGAGTGTCTTTCTGAAGGACCGGCTCCTGGATTACTTCAGGGCACGACTGGGGATCCATATGCTGTCCCACTTTTTTCACCCGTGTTTTATTTTTGTACCAGGATTTCCAGGTACCACATTTTGAGCCCACGCTGCAAATATGCAGTGTGGGGAACGTTTTTTTGTTCCCAGCGTGCATCTTGCAGCATCTCAAAATCCTTTGAGATCCCGCAAGAGGCATGTGTGGGCTTGACTGGACGCACCCTTTGAGCTCTGACTTAAGAGGCTAATGTTTTTGCACCAACTACTCCCAAGTGTGAGGCTGTTCCATATTTTAAGTTCTCTAATGCTTAAGAAGGCTTTCCTAATTTCCTGTCTATATTAGCCCATGGCCAGCCTACACACATTTCTTTTTGGGCCAATGTTGCTTTTAGTTTAAATCATTCTTTTCCCTTTCTAATTTTTGCCTTGTCATGTATTTATCAGTCACAGTCATATCCCATTTTCAGCCTTCGTTTTTATATGCTCTTCATTCTCTGATCATTTTAGTAGCACATCTCTGCACCTTTTCTAGTTTCAATCCATATTCCTTGAACATGGAAAACATGCATTATATACAGTATTTTATATAAGGTCATCCAAAGGCCTGTATGATGGTATTAACGCTTGCCTTTCTATACTAGCAGTACCTTGACAGGTACAAGATATTTCACAACTGCATCACACTGGGTGCTTCTACATGTTCATTAATGCACTTTAAGTAATGCGCATTAAATCTTGTACCTCCACTGTGAGGGTCTAGAAGAAGGAGCATAAGCCTATTTTAATGTGCCTTAGCTAAAGAGCACAGTTTTTTGGTGATACTTTAATGCTCATTAAGATAGGCTAATGTGCACTAAGCGCAAGTGTTGACATGCCAGCTGAGTAGTTTTCCTTATCAAGCATTTCCATGTTATTAATTTGCATGCTTATACTGGAATTTTGTTATAAATCTCTAAGAATGTGCCTGTTACATTTGGGCCAGCTTAATTTTATGCCACTGATATTATTCAGTCATTAGGTTCATCCATTTTTTCTTGTATATTCTGATTCTTTTCATTTTGGACAGTGATTCTTAACTTTTTATCATGAGCAAATTTCATCACTAACCTACTAGCATTTGTGGTAAGATCATGATGAAAACATTAAAAAGGCCCTTTTCTATCCTTATTGCATAGAATTCCACTCTTTTTTTCCTTCCTCTCTTCTAATTTATATACCTGAAGAAGTTATTGTCATTTATTTTTATGTCTTTTGCCGCATCTAATTCACCTTGATGTTTGCACTTCCTACTATCTTTATGCTTCCTGACCTCCCAGACATAGCCTTCTTTGCTGATCTATCCTTTATGTATTCCTTGTTGGTCCTCTGTTTAATCCTCATGTCCTTTTTGAAAGGTTCTCATTCATTTACAAATGGAGCCAGTTCCTACAGATTTTCTGCCTTTCTTCACATGTAGATTCCTAACAAATTTAGCACTTCGGCTTAAAGGATTCCCAGGCTTAGTTTACATTCAGACCCCTGAGTTCCTCTGTCCAGATGACAATATTATCAAGTTCCCTTGGTTTATCAAGGTTTGCCTTCTTGAAATACAAAAACTCGAGTGAGAGACCTATTTATATGTATTCTTCTATTTAATATTAATTTAAATCAGTAGTTACTAAGTTAAAACGCCAGACCTCTCTCCTATATTTTACTACCAGCAGAGTGATTCCATTTTGTTGTGAGAGGAAACAAATTATCTTAATGTGCCAAAAATTAGTAGTATTTAGCCCTTAGTCCTAAGGGATTATTCATACAAGTAAATTCTCATGAATTTGAGGACTCTGAATCTATCCCTTAAGTTTTACAGAACCGAAAAGTTTTGTATGCTTTGAACTAACCCAAATTTGCCTATTTTACCTCCAGTTTTAGGTTCTGTTCCTCTCATCTCTGTGGAAGATTACCAGGATGGAGGGATCCATGTGGTTTGCCAATCAGCCGGCTGGTTCCCAGAGCCCAAGTTGGTATGGAGAGATCCCAGTGGGCAGCATTTACCATCAGTTTCTGAAACAAAAGCTCAAAAGGACAATGGCTTGTTTGAAGCAGCAACTTCTATTGTTATAAAAGAATATACTAACTCAAGTTTGTCATGTTGGATCAGAGACAAGTACCTTAGCCAAGGGAAGGAATCAGCAGTTTATATATCAGGTCAGTTTCCATTTAGATCCCACAGTGAAACCACTGCCACAGAAAACAATGTGAAATGTAAAACAATACAAAGCAAAGCAAGCAAACCACCACCCTGTCTATCAACCACAAAACGGTCTGTTGCCTTTCTAGTTCTCACTTCATCCATTGCAAATACCATAATTATTCTTATCCACATATTCAAATTTCATAGAAATTTCACTTTAACTTTGAAATTTGATCACCTTGAAATCTATTTCCTATCTCTAAGCTTCTTTGTGATCTAGATCATAGCTGGGAAAAACCTGAAGTTCACCTAAGTCCCCAGAGGGACCTCATTCATTAAGCATGCTCATGAGATGTGTAGCTCAAATTGACAGCATAGACAGCAGTTCAAAATTATGAGGTATCTAGACCTTTAACATCGCAGCTAGGGGACTACCTAAATTGCAAAGCAACTGACCAATTTTCATGGGTTGATCACAGTGTGAAGTTCTAGTTCCACAGTTATTTTGTGATGGCTTCATCCCTTGGTGCTGACTGGCACAGAAGCCTAGCCCCTTGGCACTGATCAGTTGAAAGGTCTTGTTGGGGGAAGGAGGGTAGAGTGGGAAACTGCCCTTTGTGCCATCCCGCCAAGCAGTGCCTTCCCCTTCTGGCAGCAAGGACTGCTGGCTCCTACTGGGGATCTATCATTTTGTTTTATTTATTTGTTGTTGTTGACTGTGGATTTTGCAGACAATTTTGGATGTCACAGTTTTAGCAAAATCATGAATTCATATGTCCCAATAATAGCCCAATGACCACAGTGGCTACAATACATACTCAGGAAATATAAGGCTGTCCTCAACCTTCAGGAATTCAAATTATCCAAGAGTGCCCTAACCCCCAAACAAGAAACTAGGTTTAACAGTTATTGGTCCAGAAGTAGAGAAAGCAATCACAGCATGAGTCTGTCTTAGTGATGGGATCATTTCCTGTGAAGGAGCTTGTGATGCAGTCACTCCTGTAATTCACTGTTGTTCGTTTTTACTTCCATGGTGACTGACTGGTGTTAAAAGCAGAAATGGTCTGAGCAACAGGAACCAAGACCCTGATTTTTTTTCCCCGCTTCCAAACTAAGCGTGTCAGAGAAGATTAGTGCAGAGTAGGAGGTATGCTGTAAATTTCTTCCCTTTTTTCAATCTACTCTCTTCAACTGAGGCATGAGGCCTTGGCAGGACTGATATTCTATGCTGTCTTATTTCAAGGTGGAGATAGAGGTTACCTTTGTGCCACCATACCAATTTTTATGGCAGCACAAAGTGAAAGCAAATAAAGGTCCTACCTTTCGCTGTACCACAAATGCTAAAGTTTCTGGCTGTGACAGAATGCAGCTATAATCTGTGCCACTTCGTTGCAGCCATTGTCTATTTGCTTATGGCAAGAGAGCATGGGAACCCATGAGCTGCAGCCAGCACTCTCCAGTCACCATCTCTAGGGATCTGAGAGACCCAGTCTTGGGCATCCTAGGAATTCTTGGGTAGACTTGGGCTCATCAAGCCCCTGAAGAGCCCATCCAGCTTTCCCTGCTTACTGAGACACACCCTCAGGATATCCAGAGACATATCTGGGTAAGCAGGAAAAGTTGTGATTTCCTCACTTACCTAGATACATCCCCTGAATCTCCAAGTATATTTTTCAGTGGGCAGAGAAACCCCAGCTTTCCCTGCTTGCCCAGATACATCCCCAGATAGCCCAGGGGTGCATATGGGTATGTGGGGAAATCACTGACTTGTGCTTCATGTGGAGGCAGGAGTCAGTGCATGGAGGCACAGGTCACCAGGGGTTCTCTGGCTCCCACACCATCCCATGCCTCCACACTGGTCCATGCTGCCCCATGCCATTGAGTGAAGGAGGTCAGCACAGGTTTCATCAAGGTGGTATGGGTCAGCATGGGACACAAGGAATTCTCAGCACCTCATGCCTTCATGGTGGGACTTTCACTTCATGTATAGGCACAGTTCAGTGTGGCTACCAGAGTGGAGGCATACTACTTAACCTATGCTACCCTGTACAGCCAGATCTTACTGCTCCCATTAGGCATCTGAGAGGACTTCGGTACCAAAGTATGATCCTGTTGTACCCTGCTGGAATTCTTGAGTATTCATTAATACAGCTAACTTTGTAACATGGTTATAGAGGAAAGTGCCCTCCACAGGACAGCCAGCAAAAAGGAACCAAGCTTGTGCTGAAGAAAGTCCTGGGATCTAACCCTGGCTCCCAAGGTTGTTCATTCATTTTTACTAATATCTATTTAATGAAAATGCATCATAGAGGTTGATATACATCTGGAATAATGTGATCACAAGTAATGTAGTTTTTCCAGTGGTCAGGTAATGCAAAATGCAAAACCCCTTTGGCAGCAAGGGCTTCCTCCCTTCCTGTTCCAGCAGCATTCACCTTTCTGGGCTACAGTCGCACACCATCTGGTTGGCTGGCATTTCTTCTCATGACTCTGGCTCTCCTGGCTGCCCATAGGCCTAACTTCAACAACAAGCTGGTCTTGGTTCTACCTAGTCTGTGGCCAGAACATGATGATTGGAGACATAAGGCTCCAAACTGTTCCTAGCCCCTGAGTCTCCCATTTCCCAGGCAAATGACTTAACCACAAGACAAATGATTTAACTGCAAGTGGCAGTATAGGTGCCACTACTAATGACATGAACTGTGCCAAACAGTGACCAGCCTGGATTTTGATTTTCCTACAATTTCAGGATCTTGCACAACGTTTCTGTGTGTCCACAAGGAAACTGAATCTTAGCATAGCATAAATGTAATTGTCATGTCTTTGGCTGTGTTGAGTAATTTTTTAGCATGCTGAATAGTGCAAATTTACAAGGATTGGGGGAAAATGGAAAAACATAAGCAATGTAGAAATCTTTGAGTGATTTAAAACATTATGAGGGGTCAAGTAGAATGTCTTTTTTGTGACTTACATGCCTAAAAATGATCTACAATGACACTTGGATGTCTTAGCAGGAAAGTAGAGGTTTGCCTGTAGATTCTGCCTTAAGTTGCAGTCTTAATTAATTGAAGCAAGTTTCATAAAGGGCATCTTTACACCAAAATCTGATTTAAGATTGTGTACATTTATTTGCTCCATTGATGCAACTGTTTTTGTAGCAAGGCCTTGAACCAATTGAAGAATGGCCAAGCAAAGATTAACAGACTTTTTGCTCAGCCGGGGAAAAAATCCCTGTGAGGAGCAGGCTTTAGATTCTTTTGAAAACCCCATTCTGAGTCAGTGATTAAGGCACTGGGGTCGCATCTACACAAGGTACTGATTGCATAGTTGTTATGTGCAGTCATTTAGTACTTGTATAAAGTGTTAAGCAAGTGTTTGTACAAATACAAAATGACTGCGCAGTAACCCAAGTTACTGTGCAGTAGTGCCTCCACACTTTTTTTGTGATGCTGGCTGTGCAGTAGCCTGAGACTTCTGTGCAGGAGCATTGCATAAGGGTTGCTGCTATGTGAAGCTCCTGCTCAGTAGTCTCGAGCTACTGCACAGTCAGTGTCTTTTGTAACTGCAGCCTGGAAGGAGGAGAATGGCAAGTGAAGACTATTTTATAACTCCAGTATTTGGGAAGATTAGAATTATGATTAATTTTAAAATGTGGGAGTGATACTGGATTTTCCAAAAATTCTTTTAATATGTCACTTCTTTGTATTTCCAAAAACTGAGAGAAAAATTCTTTGAAGGTGTAGTAAGTCCATTAAACATCGATGCTCTTACAGAGTAAGAAAATTTATCCCAGAATTATGTTATCCTAGAGGATCACTGAATCAAACCAATCCTGTTTGTTTACGAAAATTTCCATGGCAAAATTATTGGAGTCATTTTTTTAAATCAGTTTCATATCTTTTGCATAGTATTGTGGGGCTCCTGCTGTCATTTTGTTTCTGAGAACAATCCCAGGTATTCTGTTTTTCAGACCAATTTTTCCCTTGGGTTAATCCCTGGATGGTGGCTCTGATTGTGATCCTGGTGATTTTATCTGGTTTCCTTGTCCTGATCATTTATTTCTGCAAGCTAAGAAGTAAGTATCAGAGGGCGGGAATATGGTGCATTTAGCAAGAAATTGGCTTCTGATAAATGAAAAAGGGCATAAATAGGACTTTATCCTAGCCAAGCAGAGAGAAGCACACAGATGCACTCTTCCCTGAGCAGACCAGGGGAGGACGTGTTACTTCTGATATGCCTGCTCCACTTCGGCACAGCAAAAAGCTGCGCTGTTCTGAGGCATGTTGTTCCTGCACCATGCACACTGTCCCCCAGAATGGAAGTAATGTAGCTGCCTTAGTGACATGTTGGGCATGTGTCTAAAAGCTCTGACTTCATTTACAAAATGGAAAGACTGAATTTTCTCTCTTTCTTTATTTTGCAAGCTTTGATTCAGTCCATATATTTTAAAGTTAATGGAAACATGGCTTCCAACAAAACAAACCTAAAAACATAACCAATATTGTGAGGACTCAGCTATGTACCACGATTAGGATTCATAATTTCCATATAGAGTGTGTGCGGGGGTTGCAGCCTTCAGATCAATGACAGTATAATGGCCACTGAAGTGCTCAGAGTCCAACCAAAATTTTGCAAGAGGAAGTCATGCCTCAGCCCCTTAGCAGGTTCCCTGCCTGTAGCCTGCATGATTGCATTTTGTGATGCAGAGTTTGTCTAGTGGGAGGAATGCGATTCAATCCATCCAGTCACAGATACACTTACAGTGTCTTTTCTCTGATTGTGTGTTACTTAGGTGACCTTCTGAGACAACTTGGTGAGTTTTTCTCCTTCTTTATTCCAGCCTCTTCCATTATATTGAATCTTCCTACCTACCTACCCTTCTGCCTCTCAGTGCACTGTCTGTACACCATTAATACCATTGGGTAACTATTTTTTTTCTTACATGGCCATCTCCATGGCGTTTTTGGCACTTAAGTAACCAGATGAATTCTCTTCCTGGCTGCGTAGCCCTGTGTGCATAGACAGCTACAGAGGCAGAGACTGGGCATTCACAGTAGCATTTGGGGCCCATACATATACTTGCTTGTAGATATGTAGCAATCTTAGCTACCCAGAACTGTAGCCAACCATAATCTATGACTACTGGATTTGGAATCAGAAATAGAAAAATGCTGTGCCTGTGTGTTTTCCCTTACCTCCTCCCCCCACCCACCCCACCAGGACTGCCCACCAACACTTCCAAATAGCTTAGGAGATAAAGACCTGGAAGCTAGAAACCCTGTAGTGTTCTAAGAAATCCTCACTTGGAGAAGGCTTGAACTTAGGTCTCTCTCACTTGCCAAGCTAGCCAACAAATCACAGATAAGCCATTATCTAGGCCCTCCTCTAGCACTCCTTTTGAAGCCATGAGAAGGATGTCTGTGGGACGTATGTGGAACAAGGAAAATAGCTTGTGTGGCTCAGTGAAGTGGCTACTGTCTTGTAAGGCATGCAGTCCTGAGTGCTTGCTGAGTAGGGTTATCATATCATATTATATCAATTGCATAGGATGCAATTTAATAAAGATAAATGTAAGGTACTCCACCTGGGAAGGAGGAACCCCCAGCACACCTATAGTTTGGGGAGTGTCCTTCTCAGCAGCTCAGAGGCAGAGAGGGATCTTGGAGTCATAACTGACTCCAAGATGAACATGACCCGGCAGTGTAACGAGGCCATCAACAAGGCCAATCGCACCTTGTCATGCATTAGCAGGTGCATGACTAATAGATCAAAGGAGGTGATGCTCCCCCTCTATGCGGCACTGGTCAGGTCGCAGTTGGAGTACTGTGTCCAGTTCTGGGCGCCACACTTCAAGAGGGACGCAGAGAATCTGGAGAGGGTCCAGAGGAGGACCACTCGCATGATTAGTGGCCTTATGATAGACCCTACGGGGGGAGGTTGAGAGAGCTGAATCTCATCAGCCTTCACAAGAGACGGCTGAGGGGAGATCTTGTGGCCGACTAGAAATTTATTAGGGGAGGTCAACGGGGAATAGGGGACATGCTATTTACTGAGGTGTCCCAGGGAGTGACTAGGAATAATGGGTGTAAACTAGTTGAGAGTGGATTTAGGTTAGATATTAGGAAGAAATACAGTAAGGGTGGCCAGGATCTGGAATGGGCTTCCAAGACAGGTGGTGCTATCACCTAGCTTGGAGGTCTTCAAGAGGAGGCTAGATAGTCACCTGGCTGGGGTCATCTGACCTCGGTCCTCTTTCCTGCCAGGGGCAGGGGGTCGGACACGATGATCCATTGTGGTCCCTTCCTACTCTACACTCTATGAATATTTCCAGGTCAAAAAAAAAAGGACATCTGGCATGGTGGGAGAGAGGGCACAGGGGAATATGCTGCCCCTGCCCATTTTGTTGCTCCTCACTGACAAGCCCACTGACCCCAGCCCTGCCAGTATCCCTCACTCCCAAACAGAAATATCCTGCCCCCCACCCCTTGCTGGTGCCCCTCACTCCCAACCCGCAGGCCCCTGGCGCTGCCTGTGCCTTGCAAACCCAACCCACAGTCACCCATCCCATCCCCCATGCCCCTCACTCCTGACCTGTAGCCCCTGCCCCCTCTGCACTGTCGGCACCCCTCACTTCCAACCTGCAGCTCCCTGCTCCCTCCCAGCCATAGTGGTACCCCTCACTCCTGACCTGCAGCCCCTTTCCCACCCCCAGCCCTTCTGGCTTGTGTTCACTCCTAACTTGCAGCCCCCTGCCCTGCCCAACCCTGCGGTGCCCCTCATTCCTCACCCACAGCCCCCTGCCTCCCAGCACTGCTGGTGCCCTGCACTTCTGACCCTCAGTCCCTGCTCCCTCATAGCCCTGCTGCCCAAGCAGCTTGCTCACACACACACCTTCCACTAGTGGCCGGGCCATGTGAAGAGCATATGATCTTGTAGATTCATAGATGTTAGGGTCAGAAGGGACCTCAGTAAATCATCGAGTCCAACCCCTACCCTAGGTGGGAAAGAGCACTGGGGTAAGATGACCGCAGCCAGGTGCATGTCTAGTGTCCTCTTAAAGACCCCCAAGATAAGGGAGAGCACCACCTCCCTTGGAAGCCTATTCCAGACTCTGGCAACCCTTACAGTAAAGGAGTTTTTCCCGATGCCTAACCTGCTCTCTGTCAGCTTGTGGCCATTGTTCCTAGTTACTCCAGGGGGTATTCTGGTAAACAGAGCATCTCCTTTTCTTCCTGACCACCCCCTATGAATTTAGAGGCGGCCATGAGATCACCTCTCAGCCGCCTTTTGTGGAGGCCGAAGAGATCCAAGTCCTTCAATCTCTTCTCCTAGGGCTTTGCCTTCAGGCCCCTAACCATACGAGTGGCCCTCCTCTGGACCCTCTCGGGGTTTTCCACATCCCTCTTGAAGTATTGCACCCAAAATTGGACGCAGTACTCCAACTGCAGCCTGACCAATGCCACATAGAGGGGAAGTATCACCTCCCTGGACCTGTTTGTCATGCACCTGCTAATGCATGATAATGTGCGGTTAGCTTTACTGATCATTTCTGCACATTGACAACTGATGTTCATCTTGGAGTTAGCTATGACTCCAAGATCCATTTCTGCTGCTGTGCTGCTGAGAAGGTCATCTCCCAGTCTATAAGTGTGTTGGTGATTTCTTCTCCCTAGATGCATCACTTTGCACTTGTCTTTGTTAAACTGTGTCCTATTCTTTTCTGCTCACTTTTCCAACCTGCCCAGATCCACCTGGATTTGTTCTCTACCCTCTAGTGTGTTAACTTTACCCCATAATTTGGTATCATCTGCAAATTTGGACAAAGTGCCCTCTATGCCCTCATCCAAGTTACTGATGAAGACATTGAACAGCACAGGTTCAAGGACCAAGCCTTGCGGGACTCCACTGCTCACAACTTTCCAAGTCGATACCAACTCATCCACCACCACTCTCTGGGTGTGACCCCTAAGCCAGTTTGCCACCTAGCTGACCATGTAATCATCTGTCACAGCCTTTCAGTTTAACTATGAGAATAGGATGAGATACTTTATTGAAGGCCTTCCTAAAATCCAAGTAAATGACATCTGCCTCCTCTCCTGCATCTAAGCATTTTTGTGACCTGATCATAAAAAGAAACAAGGTTAGTCAGGCAGGATTTACCTGCTATGAATCTGTGCTGGTTGCCCTTCAGCATTATTTTTCCCACTGGACTCCTACAGATGTGATTCTTAATAATTTTTTCAAAGGTTTTCCCAAGGATAGAGGTGAGACTAACCAGCTTGTAGTTACCTGGATCCTCCTTTCTCCCCTTCTTGCAAATAGGGACCACATTGGCCCTTTTCCAGTCCTCTGGGACCTGACCCGAGCACCATGAGTGCTTAAACAGCTCTGTTATGACACTGGCCAATTCCTTCAGCACTTTTGGATGAAGATCATCTGGGCCTGCTGACTTAAACACATCCAGTCCTTCCCGGTGTCTCTGCACCAAGTTGACACTAATAGTTGGTGGGCTGGTGTCCCCCTTGTACCTATGATCCAATTGGGAGATTTGTCCTGATCCGAGTTCAGGAACACTGAAGCAAAAACTCATTGAAGAGCTCGACTTTGTCCCCCCCTCTCTGTCACTAATTGTTCTTGTTTATCTTGTAAGGGTCCTATGCTACCCTGTGCCTTCTTTTTACTCCCTATATACCTGAAGAAGGACTTTTGTCTTTAATTTTTGTTGCCAGCCTAAGTTCCATTGTTGCTTGGGCATTTCTAACTGCCTCCCTGCAAGTGTGGGCCAAGTAGGTATACTCCTCCTTGGAAGCTACCCCCTGCTTCCAGAGCCTGTATGCCTCTTTTTTGCCCCTAGGCTTTCCTTGATTTCCCTGTTTAGCCAAGAGGGTTTCTTGTTCCCTTTGCCCCCATTCCTGCACAATGGGATTGTCTCCTTCTGCACCCAAAGGATTGCTTCTTTTAGGAACAACCACGCTTCCTGGACTCCCATCTCACCAGTGCTTCTGTTCTTCAGTGCAGCTTAACTAATCTCCTGAGCACACTGAAGTGAGCCTTTCTGAAGTCTAGCGCTTCTGCCCTACTGGTTATCTTTCCCACCCTATGCTGGAGAGTGAATTCAATCAATTGATGGTCATTATCCCCTAGGTTACCTTGTATCTGCAGATCCCCCACCAGGTCATCTCCCGTAGCCAACACCAAGTCCAGCAAGGCATTTCCCCTACTGGGACTGTATACCTCCTGCGTTAGGTGAAGGTCTTGTATGCAGGTTAAGAAGCTACATGAACGGTTGGATCTAGCTGACTGCTTCTCCCAGTAGATGTCAGGGTAGTTTAGATCACCCATGACAACTATGTCCCTTGACTGTACGGCCTCTGAGAGCTGCCTGGAGAATTCCAGGTCTATGTCATCCTCCTGGTGTGGCGGTCTGTAGCAGATCCCCGCTACCAAGTCCCTTTCCCCCGACCCCCTTGCATTCTGCCCCACAATACCTCAATTTGCCCCTCCTCTGATCCCATCTTGATTATGGAAGATGTATATTGCTCCTTAACATAGAGATCAACAACCCCCCCCCTTTTCTTCTGACAGCCAATCAGCTTTCCCACTGCCCTTAGCTCCGAGCAAAAGCAGAGGCTAAGGAAAAAACCCGGACATTTGGCCGCATTTTTAAATACCCACCTGGACAGAGCACAAGGGCCCAAAAAAGAGGACGTCTGGGGAAAACCTGGACATACGGTAACCCTATTGCTGAGGTCCTTGCCCCTAGTAAGGCATAGATGTCCTCCAACACTATGCTGCAGCCATTTTTCCAGTAATCAAATGAATGACTCAGCTCGGAAGGAGCACCAGAGAAGGGACCTGACTTTGGCTAACATGGCATTGCTGTTAGAGCAGTGTGCTTAGAAGTCAGAGAGACCAATGATTAAGCCCTGTCTGGCTGGGCAGAGGGCTAGAAGTCAGGTCATCTAACCTCCCTGGTTAGTACCTTAACAACTGAGTGACTGGATGAGTAGAGAAGGAAAAAGAGCTCCCTTTTTTTTCTTTCCCTCTTCCCTCCTATCTCTGACTGCATAGTTGCACATAGTTGTCTTTGTGTCCAGGAACAGAATCCCTCCCTCCCCGAAAAGGTCACTTAGAAGATGATAAAAAGGCCACATAGATGACCAGGACAACATAGAATTCCACCAAATGTTTCTATAGGACTTTGTGGGCTCTCTGGCTCTTTTCCTTCTGGTCGTACAACTTCCTTTGGTGAGGATCTTTCTTCTCTCATTTTTAGTCAAAGGGTATCTGAGTTGTGAGTGCCCTTCTAGTTGTGCCGTAAAGATTTATTGAGGGGGGGAGAGAAAAGGTTTTGCAGCAATTCCTAAATCTGCTCAGGCTCTGGAATCACCCAGTCTGATCTAAAAACATGTCCCACGGCCAAATCCCCATAGCTTTTGTCCACAGCTCTCATGCACTAATTTTCCCAGGTTTTGTGATCTTTTTTCCATACATCAAAATATGCTCATTAGTGTAGATATGACTGGTTTGAGGATTAGGACCAAGGCCTTACACTGGCAATGAAAGTCAACTGAGAACGAGTGGAAGTACCTAAACAATTATCTGATATGCTCTCAGTGGCCCAAACCTTAGGGAAGGCAAGGAGCTGCAGTGTGTGAGCTGAAGCTTTCACATTCTACTTCAGATAAAGTGAATCTCAGTAATCCATCATGAAGGTGACAGATGTGGGGACCACTGAGGCAGGGAGACATCTGGGTGCCAGTGGTGGAATTTCTTAGTGACGCACATTCTCCAGCCCCGATAAGCAGGTGCTCCAGGGGCCTGAGGGCCCCTCAAATCCCTAGAGCACCTATCCATCTTTCCCCACTTGCATAGAGGCACCCGAGGGAATCTTGGGATGCCTCTCTAAAGGCAGGAAAGTCAAGGATTCCATCTTACAGAATCCTGCCCTGCCATCTCCAGGGGCATGTCTATAAGCTGGGAAAGCCTGGCAATATCCAGTACCCTGTGCATCCATGCTGGGACCTGCTTACCCAGCTGGGCTTCTCCTGCTTCCCTAGATGCATTCCCAGAGATTACAGGGACAGCTGGGTAAGCAGGGAAAGCCTCTCTCCCTGATTACCCAGATGTGCCCCCAAGAAATTCTTGGGGTTCACAGGACCAGACCCTCAAATCCCAAGACAACATATTGCCCCTTGTCCTGCACCATCAACAGGTGGAGCAAAAGGTGACATTTGTTCCACTCAGTCAAACAAATTATACTTCCAGTGAAGCATAATGGCACAGTTGATCTGCATCATTTTGTAACATCTATTACTAGTCTTAGTGAGGGGTCATGTAATAGGATTTCCCACCTCTTTCATTCCCACATCAGTGGAAGGATGAGACAGCATTTTTACACATTCTCCAATGTGTTGTCCCATTTTCTACCAATGTCCCTTTGTCCTTGCTTGGATTCTTGGCCAACTGGATTTCATCAAGCATCTTTTGATTGATAAATTTCCTTGGATGAGTTTTTAATCCCTGGCTTTTTTTGTTTTTTTGCTTGGTTTCAGGGTGGAGAAGAGACGTCATCTGTCCAGGTAATGGACGCTAATGATGAATCAACACTGAAAATTTACTCTTTCGGAGATTACCCAACCCATTTCCTTATGCAGTCAGACTGTTGTATTGACTAACAGTTTTGGCCAGGGATGACTTTTTGCTAAGATGAAAAGATTAAAAAATTTGTGCGTCCACAGTTGTTGTTTTGGGAACATAAAATTCTCCCCTCACTCCAGCGGCAGCTAAGAGTTCCCGAAGCTGCAGTGTAAATGGGTCTGGTAGACGAGAGAACCGGGAAGGGAAATGTAGGAAAAGGGCTGGAAAGGGGCTTGATAGGTTGCTCAGTTTAAATTTTCAGAATTGCTAACAGGATTCATGTACATAAACAGAGACTGTAAGAAGCCAAGTCACAGTAGGAGCATGGCCATTATCAGCCACCTCATTTCATAAAAGAAGGGCTTCACAGAAAGGTGGCGGTGGTTATCAAGGCTTTTGGAAAATTCCTGTGAAGAACAAATGAAAATCTAAGAATTGTCACCTTGAGATAGCAGATATTGAGGACAGGAAAAAAATACATGAAATCACAGTCACACAGGGAGAATGGAAAAATAGATTTTTAGGTTGAAATATCCACCACTGAAAGGATAGAAAATGCTTATTTTATTATTTTCCATAAAATTGTAATCCTTGCTGCTTGTAGACTAACAGG